AATTCAGTATTGATTTGGAGGGAAGCAATAGGAAATAATGATCCATTATCAGCCTGTTCTCTGTCACTAATGCCGGTGAATTGGCACTCATAGACTCCTGGAGAGGGTTCTTCATTTTACTGTGGCCCTCAGTTTTTTTTTCCTATACAGGGAGGGTCTTGATCATCATCAACATCTTTGTCTTCTCTGTGGTTTGGATTAGTTTGGTCTGTTGGATATTGGCTTCGTCAGTCAGTCTTTGATTGTTTAGTATGATAGAAAGGATATATTGTAACCACTATGATCTGAGAGAGATGGGGATGGTAAGAGCCCAGACCACTATTTCCAGAAATACAGACTTCCAGGAAGAATTTATGTTGAAGCTGTTTTACGTTTGTGATTTGGTGGTTGTATATCCTAATCAATTTGTGCAACCTCTTAGAACTTTCCTTTTGGGGATGGTTGGGCAGGTAGCAATACTTGGGATCAAATCCAAGGCCTTACCCATACTAGACAAGTGTTCTGCCACTGAACCATAGCCCCATCCTTAGCCTTATATTCTTGAATTTTAAAATGTGGGTCATGATAATATCGTGCTGTGATGACTCTGTGGTCTTTAGACATCACTTCACATATAGTCAACCCTTAGGAGACACTCGGTAATTCTCATCTATCTGTGGCTTTACTGTTCCTGTATAATTGCTGGGGAGAGATGACAAAGAGAGCCACAGAGATGGTGATCAGTGAAACCATGTATATTTTTCCTACTTGCTTTGCACTGAGCCCAGACCCTAAAGGGACAGGGCACAGTGTTTGTAACTCTTTTAGCAGCAGCTATGTGGCTAGGATCAGGGTCCTTTTTCCTGTTTGCCTCCCTAGAAGCAGCCATGTGGCTGGGATCAGGGCCGTTTCTCCTGTTTGCCTCTCTCCTGTTGCTGCAGCTTCATTTTCAGTTTCTGGGGCGGGGGTGGGGGGTCTTCTGTTTCACTTCTTGATTTCACGATAGATGATCATAAGCCTAGAGTGAAACCTACCTCAGAGGAAGGAAGAAGCTGACAGGCAGAGGAAGGAAGAGCAAGGTGAGGGCTGGCACAGCAAAGCCCACTCTCTCCCCTGCCTGCGTGTATGTTTTCTTCACTGATTCTGTCCCTGACAAGCTAATAGGGGCCTCAACAGGCATTTGCCATTCCACCCATTCCTCGAACTCGCTTATTAAAAGCAAGTTGAAGATGTAGAGAAAGAAGACAGCTATAAAACATTAGAGCTTTTGGAAGTTTACAGATGTTCAGTTTGCAGGTGCACATTTTTTCTTGTAAAAGTCTCTCTAATTTAACTGAGACTCAAAATAGGGCCAGAGGGACTCCATATTGAAAGCATTGCATTCACCATGTTCCTTAAATCCATCTTGCACGAACTAATGTCTCTATCCCTTACACATACTTTGGTTTGTTTCTGTTTGTCTCTTCCTCCTCTTCTATTTCTCCCCCACTCCCCATCATGTTTGTATGTCAGGTCAGAGTACAACTTCAGGTGTCAGTCTTCGTTACCTTGTTTTTGAGGAAGAGTTTCACTGTTTTCCACTGTGAGGGCTAGCTGAGTTAGACTTTCTGGGGGTGATTCTGTCCCTAGCTACAATCTCCCAGTAGTAGAATTGGGGTTACAAATGTTCACTACTGTGTTCCGTTTTTATGTGAGGGCTGAGGATTTGAGCTCAGGTCCTTACACAGGTATGGTAAGTACGTTAGCCACTGAGTTTTCTCCTCAGTGCCCGTGTTGTTCATTCTTCCCATTGTTCTTGTTTCTGTTATATTTCCTAATCTCACGGCTCTTCAGTTCCTGATAGGAGCCGCCTCTCTAAACCTGCTCTCGTTCTTTTGACAGATCCTCGCATTTTCCTGTCTCCTTTCTACGTGACTCCCTTCATTGCACTTAGATAAATGTAACTCCCCCAGACATTATACTTTTTGAGTCATGGAGGAGATTCTGATTCATCTGGAGAAATAGTGATAGGCATACGTTTATTTGATCATTAAATTAATAGGTATTTTCGTTGCATCCTTATAATGAACTGGACTTTGTGGTTATAGTATGATAGGAGTTCTGCTCTCAAGCCTTGGAGACTTGACTTTGGGACGTAGGCGTGTGAGACATGTGTGAGAGCAGGACGATAGTACTGTGACTGAAAGGGGGTCCAACCTGGACAAAGGATTAAACGCATGGCTTACAGGCTAAACAACCACCGGCAAGTAGTTGCTGGGGCACGGATGATGCATTATGGGTGAGAATTTTTTTGTAACTGAGGGGTAGCTCTTTTTGAATGGGTTCAGTGATAAGATCTTGAGCAAAAGATGAATTTTCTGTCAGATGTAAATGCTATCACATCATCTTAGGAATATTCTCATAAAGGTATTAGAGATAGGCTTAGTATCTGTTATTAAAGTATCATCACATGTAGAAGTATTTTCACCAAATTCTGATGAACCTCTGAAGATCAGATTATTCAGGGTCCTTATTAAGTTAATTGAGACCACACTGGGATTCAGAGCCTCTGAGAGTGAAGTCTGCTAATGAAAAGGAAAAGTGCCCAAGGGCACACCTCTGCCGAATGACCTAAGGACCTCATGCCCAAAAGTCAGTACAAAAGATGAATTTTTCAATTGTACGGCAAACCACTATAACTGTAATTTATATTTTTTTCTAGGAGGACTAAGATGTTTCAATATCTGGGAATCTATCAATATGATTCATTATATACTTACATACATACATACATAATACATACATACATACCAAGTTAAGAGAGACAAAGAAATTGTGTCAATGAATGCTAATGGGGAAGTGGAGCCTCTGTACAGTTGCGAGTAACTGCAGAGGAGGTACATATGCTAATCAACCATTCCTGCTTAAGATATTTTCAAACTGTCTGTATCTTAGGATAGCACAGTGACACCACCCAGCAATTTCCCAGTCATTGCAGCAGGTCGGGAGATTGATAAGTTGCTTTCTAGTAAACTAACATTAGTGTGTAAAAGTACTAGAAGAATCCAGTAAAAGAATATGCTGCTAACCACCCCCCCCCATAGGAGGGTCACACAGCCCAGCATCCGAATTGGGGGGATTGGAAGAAAATGGAGTCGGTGGAGCTAGGCACACCATAAAGACAGGGTCAGCAACACAGAGGATTATGAACCCCGGAGCACTGATGACATCCAGAAGATGCTGTGCTGGCCATCTGCAGACAGATGTCACCCTCTGTGGAGGGCAAGCTCCAAGGGCTTCACGCGAGGGCGGAGGCATGGCAAGGAGAGCTCACAAGACAGAGGGTGCAGAGCCGACTTTGGTTTTCATGAATCTTACCCTCTTTCTCCTGCTACAGTTCCAGCAGTTACCTTTTCCTTTGTGTCTGCAGCATAGCTAATTAACCCAGCACACCAGACTTAGTAAGTAGTGCAGGCTGGCTCTGCAGATCTGTGGCTTTGTCTTCAAGACCATCACCGGCTGCATTAGTTCTTATTGAAAGGCTTTTGTTTTGGAGTAGCTGGATGTGCAGCAAAGGAACGGGGATGCTATTAATCAGTTTAAAGATAAACAGTCAAAACAGACAAGCATGCATCGTGCTTTGGAACATTTAATCCTTTCTGGGTTTCATTTATTCACTGTTTCCTCTTCACCTTAGTCGTGCTGAAAGTAAAGATAGTACTGTTATTCCAATTTCATAAAAGAGGCTCAATTAATAAAAAAAAAGGTTTTTCCCCCCTCTACCTTAGAGAAAAGTTTAGTTTGGGTTTGGGTACTTAAGTCTGTTTGAATGATTCTAAATGCTCAGCTAGATTTAAAAACTCTTAGTAAAATAGACATTTATTGATTATTGTTCTTTATTGGTTTTGTGGCATGTCTTAGTGCGGAAATTTGTGGATATCTAAAATACAGTCCCTGTCTTCTCGTGAGCTCACAGTTACTCAAGTGTATGTGTCTTGGTGCATGTACACAGGGGAGGACAAGGAAAAGAAGGGCTCTGAGACCTGAGGGCCACCAGTGTCATCTTTGGCCTGTCTTTAATCTCAACTTCCTTCCCTTTGGTTATACATAGAGTTATCACCATCTTTGGAAAGAATGATTTTAAATCATAATTCTTTTGACCCTCTCCTCATTGGAGTCCTAGATTATTCTGTGTGGCCATGCCATGGGCACACACGAATTCCTCAGAATACTGCTCCTCAGCTTCTTCTTCCCTCTTGATTGCTAAGCCACATGCTGAGGCCTCCATTTGTTCCTGCATTTGCTCCGTGCTTTGTCTTTATAGACATCTGGAAGTAATCATGTCACCCTCTTAATTAATTCAGTTCAATTAATAAATTACTAGGTGGATTTGGGGCTAGGAGTGGGTACAGGGCCCCTTCCGGCCTCCCTGTGCTGGAGGGCTCTTGCAATCAGGCCTGGAGGGCCCTCCTCAGAAAGTCAGTGAGACTCTTTCCCAGCAGGCAGGCTACCTGGAGGAGTGATTGGCATATCCTGACAGAGAACTGCAATCTCTCTTCACACAGTATGGATACTCTGTTAGAACAGTGTCTGGGTTGGGCTGCTTCTCCTTCATGGAGATACCATAGCCTTTTCTGCATTTCCCGGCTTAGTTAGGTGTTAGCGGCCATTTCTTTGATTTGCTGGGCCATCATTTCATTGCTGGTGTTGAACATTCTTTCTCTAATAAACATCAGTGTTTGTTTCAGGTATTTTTGGTGACCAGCTCCTCTCTGCCCTGCCCCCCAAGTGCCTCTTCAGGGCAGGGGGCAGCTAGTCTTGTTGAGACGACATGTTGATGTATGCTGTCAGGTCTCTGTTAAGAAAATAAATATTTCCGGTTTTTCTAATGCCTACTAAATAAATTTAAGCCCGGGTGTGTGCGTGGAATTTTCTCTTGAGCCCCGTCACCCACTCTAAATTTTTGGTCAGCTTCTTTCTCATATGTCCCTTCATCCACACTGAACATTGTATTGTCTGTTTTTCTGTTTTTCTTACTGCAGATTTCAACCATGTCTCACCCATCTTGGCTGCCACCCAAAAGCACTGGTGAGCCTCTTGGCCATGTTCCTGCACGCATGGAGACCACCCATTCTTTTGGGACCCCCAGTATCTCAGTGTCGACACAACAGCCACCCAAGAAGTTTGCTCCAGTAGTTGCTCCAAAGCCCAAGTACAACCCGTACAAGCAGCCCGGAGGAGAGGGTGAGTCGTGGGGCCTGGAGTGGGAAAGAAATCCGCATCAGAGATGTGATTTGTAGTTAAGGGTGGATCAGAGAAGGAAGCTTCTCGGTGTATTTCCCACAGTTTATGAGCTGCCCCATTTTAATGAGCTTTTCATAGTCATCGGCACCAACCCCCTTTTAGAAACAAGATTAATCCTCACAGAGTTGGGTGGCTGGGGTTTTACAGTCATAAAAAGCAATAGTGGCTCAAATAGAAACGTGACCTCTTTGTTTCCAGCTCAGAGACATTGTATAGCCTTATGGTTACCTGTCCCTATCCTCTTGTGGGGATGTGTCCTCCACCCTGTGGTTCTCGTTGTTGCCATCAGACAAGTGTCAGAATGGCACCAAACAGTAGTCTAATGAGAAAGCCATAGGACAAACAAAACAAAACAAAACAACCCTGCAATAGTTCCTGAACTATGTTGCTTTTCTCTCTGCTGTTAGACAAAGTTGTCCATGACACCCGTGTGTGTTGAAGTTACAGCTGGTTCAGAGAAACGCCGGTTCAGTTCCAGGGCTTTTAGTAGCAATGCATTCATTGTACATCAAGTCGATTTTGAATGTCTGCATGAGCCGAGCATGCAATGTGTGGATCTTCCATGCACTCTCACATTAGCACACTTGGCCACTACGGCGTCTCTGTATCTGCACCAATCACTGTCCACATCTCCTTCATGTACGAAACAATAGAGATGAACACCAAATGGAGTAGCGTGAGACTTCTAGAAGCTGAGAATAAAATACATGCTCTTTCTGTCTTCTTTGCCACCCGACTTTTGACAAATGGCTGTTCTGTCTCCAGGGTTCCTTCCCTCGCGTTCTTGATCGACATCCTTGTGTTTGTTACAGCAATGTTGCCGGGGATTATTTCATACCTCATGGTATTGCCTCTACTTTCTGGTTTCTCTTGAGTTGTCCCCACCTCCCAGGAACCACACCCATTAGCCTACCACTTTATCTACTCCATTGGCCTGCTAGTGTTTTAAGAATTTTGTCATACCCATGGTTCAGATGTCTGCCTTCTGAGAGGTGACTTCAGTCCTAGAAGATATTTGAAGGAAGACTAGGCCTCTTTGCATACTCGAGCTGTGGATCTTTGTGGGTTTCTGTGGTCCCTTCTTTGAAAAGGCATTGCCAATGTATGAGCATGCTTTTCTGGGAAAAGTACCGGCTGCCCATGTACTCCCTGAAATCAGAGCCAGGCCTGGACGCTTCATCACCCTTGGAGGAGAGGGCACTTCTGCAGTTCACTAAGGTCTTCGTGAAGCTGGTTTGCAATGACTCTAGGCAGCGATTGTCAACCTCTGGGTCATGACCCCTTTGGGGTTATGAAACAACCCTTGCCCTGAAGTCCTATGTCAGATACCCTACGTATCAGATATTTACATTGAAGTTCATAACAGTAACAGAATTACAGTTACGGAGCAGTGACAAAAGAATTTTATGGTTGGGGGGATCACCCCAATCTGAGGAACTGTAATAAAATTCCAGCATTAGGAAGGTTGAGAACCACTGCTCTCGAGAGTGCAGGACTCAGACATGGTTAAGGGGGGCAGCCCTTGCTCAAGAACAGGGGAGCCATGTGTTGGCTTCCTGGCTTGTTTTCGTAGTTTAGTTCGTTTCCTACCTGGGGAGTTCAGACGGACTTCCTCCTAATAGGGAGAAAACAACGACAGAGGGCTTACACAGAAGGGTTGTGGTGTGGGAGCTTCAGTGGGCATGAGAGCTGAGCAGATGTTAAAGGGTTGTTTGTACGTGGGCCATCATGAGAAAAGACACAGGCAGCGATGTTCTTTCTTCCCTCCTGAGCGCTAAGAGTCATCCATAGTGAGACAAGCCCCTTTGTTGTCCCCTGGCTTGTGATGCCCCTGCCTGTACTCTGTGTGGCAACTCACTGGTCTTTCAGATACAGTGGTGTAAACTAAACTGCTTGCCTCCGTTCGAGCTCACAACTCCTTGTCCCTTACCACCCAGCTTGCGTTTATTACCTGTTGGAATTGCCTTTGTCCCACTTCCCTGACAATGTCGGGTGTACCCTAAATCCAAAGTTAGCCCTTCCTCCTCTGCAAACATTTTCTCACTGTCGCATTTCTGGACTTTTTTACTGTTGCTCCTGCTTGCCTTCTGTCGCTCACTGAACAGGTAGTATATACCCCATTCTTCTCTTTCTATTGGATGGACGTTTCACGGAACCCTATGAAGTAGCCCACACCCACACCCACAAAGAAACTGAAGCTCCCAGAGGGGAGATAGGCCTCACTGTTTTCTGGCTAGGGATTTTCCGTGTCAAGTCTGTTCTCATAGGCGGGGTGGGTCTTCAAGCTGCCTATTTCAGTGACTTTCCTTCTCCCATACTCATACCATGAGGTTTTCATTGGAGGAGTTGCTAAACAGGATTGCCTTCAACTTACCAACTGCGTTTCTCACATTAGCTTATGTCTGTGATCTCTAGGGTTTGCTTTCTTACTTTTAAATCTGACTGTGGAAGTAGAAAAGCACCCACATGTTTTCCACACCAGCTTATATTTATGTGATACCCATATGCTATAATTTTCCTTATAAATCATTACGGTAATAATCTTTGTCTAAAGGGCTTTGACACCCTTTGTCTAAAGGGTGTGCCTTCTCTCGGTCAGTGGTTCTTTAAGCCTTAAGCCCTTTGATTCTCAGAGAATTTTCAATGAATTTTTATTTTCTCAGCTGTTTTGAATGCTCCTACATTTCCAAATACTGTCTGTGTTCAGCACTGAATGCTAAGGTAGACCCCGGCCCCTGGTGTGTGTGTGTGTTGTGTGTGTTGTTGTTGTCTGGTACAGAATGCGTAGTTTTTATTGTGTATGAATGTTTTCTAAAGCTCTTTGATATGGATTATGAGTTTTTTCCTCAAGAGAAATGAGATAGCCCAATTTTCTTCAGGTTATAAAGTGCCACCTTCCAGGACTGTTTATCCTGTAATCTAGCTTCTGCCTTAAGAACAACTAGGAAAACAGGCAGGCAGAACCAACAACGTGAAACCTTAAGCTTTGATGGTACAGGAAAGTGGAATTCTTTTTCTGTTCTTCATAGGCAATGAAGTATGTCATCTTTCCTAAGGTATTGTTTATTTGAAATGGCTTTGAGGTTATTCTGTTGTCTGTCTGTCTATCTCTGTCTCTTTTTCTGTTTCTCCATTGTTTGATAAGTTTGTAAAGTTGGAGTTGCCTTGTGATGTAGAATTATCTTTCTGTAATCCCTAAAATTCCATTTTTAAAACATTTTTTATGTTTGACAAGGGACTCCGCAGAGCCCCGACTCTGGGTGGTCACGTGGTGCGGTCCTTGATGGTTGGCTCAGCAACTGCATTGCACTGTTTTGTTTGTAATTTTCAGAAGATAAGTTTTACTGTTGCTTTTCAGGCCAACAGAACAGATGTTCTTCCCGTTTCACTGATTGCTAGACCACCAGAAATGAAGAGCTTATTAAAGAAGGATGTAACAGGGCTGAATATATAGTACTGTACCTAGTGCATGCACACATGCATGCATGCAAATACACACATGCACACATGTATGTGTGTGCCTGAAGACATGCATCACATAACAAAGAAGGTGATTCTTCATTTTCACATTCCTACTGATTATACTTAAAAAAAACTTTTAAAGAACATTTATTTTATTTTATGTGTGTATTTGCCTGCATGTATGTCTGTGTATTATGTGTGTGCATTGCCTGCAAAGCTCAAAGAAACCCTCATGTTATCTGGAAACCCCCATGGAGTTATAAACAACTGTAAGATACTAGGTGGTGGGTGTTGGGAATCGAATCCAGGTTCTCTGGAAGAGCAGCCAGTGCTCTTAACCCCTGAGCCATCTGTTCAGTACCTGATTTTAAGATTTTAATGTATTATGTTCTTTGGCTATTTAGCTATACAACCTTATATTTCATATAATTCTACTATTCTAGTATTTCATGTATTTGTGTGCAATTACATTCAAAGGTTGACCCTTTCTGCAAACTATTCTTAAATATACTACCTTTATGCACTTCTGCATCAAGAGCAATGCCTGTGCTTTTACTGGTCTGAGTCTAAGAAGGCGGAGCAGATGGATGGCTTCAAATGGGATTCGTAGGCCAGCACGTTTTCTTCTCCGTTCCTCTGTGCTGTCCTCTGATGTCAGTAACTGCACTCCATCCAGAGGAAATAGTTGTAGAACATCGCTAATCAGGCATAGTTAGTAACAAATTGCCTTGACAGCCTTAAGAACTGAGTTTCCCTGCCAGAAATATATCCATACATATTTCTTTTCTGTGTTCATAGTTGGGGCATTTTGCACGCACACACACACACACACACACACACACACACACACATCGAGTTGTTTTGAGTTTTAGAAACAGAAAGGGTTTGAGAATTGTTCCCTTTGATGGCTGTGTATGCATCATCCAAGTGCTAGACAAGAACCCTACTACAGCACAGCCCTGCCCTAAAGGGCTGGGGCTAGCCCCATAAAGTGCAATCCCGTCCCTAGAGTCCTGTTACCTTTGCTCTGGTAAGGTCATCTTGGATGTGACTTTGGAACTACAGATAGCAAACTTATTTTCATGTGCTTGCCCATCCTCATAAATCATCAGTAACCATAGTCATGCTGTTGCAGTGTGTGAGATTTTGCTTGTATTTCAGAGGGCATTCTGAGGATCTGAGCCATGGTGACGGGCATGCCCTGTGAGAACCTCACACTCTTCAGTCACCCTGGTGTACAGGACATAGCTCTGGATTTTCAGATCCTCTTGGGCAAAGAGGACCAGCTGCTTCTTCATTAAAGAATCAGATGCTAATGCAGTTCAATTGATGGTTACATCTTGAAGAAGAAGGAACTTGTAATTCCTAGGTTGTTATCAGGTCACAGCAGGTGTTCCTAACCCTCCCTGCCCTCCATTCTACTACATAGCTCTGGGTGGATGGTCTGTGATAGTTTTACCATGAATTTGGACAGAATA